CCCTAAAACCCTAGAAGCCTAAAACCACCCCACGCTCTGCAACCTGGCGTCGTCCCCGGCATCGATGAGTCGCTGCCTTTCTCGCCGGTCCTCTCGCAAGCGGCAGGATATGGGTAGTTCTCTAAATTGGGGTTTAGGGTTTAGGGCCTAGGGTTTAGCGTTTAGGATTTAAATTGAGGTTTAGGGTTTAGGGTTTAGGGTTGGGGTCCCTTTTAGGGTCCTTTTTATAAGAGTGCCGTGCTATATTGGGGACCTTAAACAAGGACCCTCGTTTAGAGAACTACCCATATCCCAAACCCAAAGCCGTAACAGGTTTCGACTGACACACCAAGAGAAGGCTGGCATGGCACACAGGGTCCGAGCTTGTTACGATTTAAATTTAGGGTTTGGGGATTAGGTTCTGCCTCCGGAATTGCTAGGTCTAGCGGGTTGTTTGCCTGCCTGTATGGCGGTTAACATAGACGGTTTTCGCTACACAGCAGCTGAGGGTTTGGGGCATTGCACTTTGGACAACTAACCCAGGCCGACAGGGTCTATAGAATTCCGTGCGCCCTCAAACCTACGCCCATGCGTGAAGGGAAACGGTGGCTGCTTGAATCCGAGGTTCTCGGGTATAGGGCTTAGGGTTTAAATGAGTGCCAGGGATGGAGAGAGAGTGAGAGAGAGAGAGAGAGATAGAGAGAGAGAGAGAGACAGAAAGTTTCGGCTCTCACACTCGGACAATGCAGGCGAGGCTGGTGGTCTGGTCGTAGATCGGCGAGGTGAAACTAAGGGGTTCGGGGTCCGAGACGAATACCTTGTGTGGCTTTAGATGGATTTCGGCTTGGGGCTTTTCGGTTTAGGGGGCTGCACACCTGAAACCTGGCCCCAAAACTGGAGCCTAGCACTAAAATGCGCAAGATTTGGCAAAACAAGCTAAAGTTGTGGGCCACACTAGCACTGAATCCTCAAGCTGACCTGGCAAGCTCTAGTAAAGGCCTAGTAGCTCGGATATACGTCTACCGAGCGACAACCAACAAAAATCTGGCTACTTCCGCAAGCTATGCTCCCTGGCATCACCTCTTCTACCGAAGGCACTTTGTATGACCCCCCTAAACCCTAAACCCAAACCCCTAGAACCCCTAATCCGTAACGCCTAAACCCTGGTCCCTGCTCGCCATGTTCCAAGCTCCCTAGCCCACGGCCTCTTCGGTGAGTCGGGCGAAGATGTCCTGTTTGACGTAGGGGGCATAAATAATAGCCTAGACTATTATTGCGGGTTCGTTTAAAGGGCCCCTTAAAGGGTTCTATCAGGGCTGCTATCAGGGTTTACGGTTAAGCGGCCTGATTAACTACCTATACAATTTGGGGGACACCTTTTTATTATGGCATAATATACCCCCAAAACCCTATTCTAATTCTTAAGGCCCCTACATTAGTATCGCGTGAATGTTTCGCGCTCTTGGGGGTAAAGAACTGAAGGCTTCGACTGTAGATTCGAACCACTGGGGGCTATAGCGCTTGGTGCAAGGATTCTGAAGGATTAGTAGGGGGCCTGAGTAATTAGAATACGGTCTTGGGGGTCTATGGTACTAAAAAAAATAAAGTGATTATTTAGGCTTCTATAGTATGATGGGTGACGACCCGAACTGCCGCCAGAATTGTAATCTCTCAAACAGACGGCGGTTGAGGTCGTGGGGCCCATCTTCGGTGGACCATACTTCTGCTTCTTGCCTCCTACAACCCACATCTATTCTACCCTAAACCTTAAACGGACCTTAAACCTAAACCCTAAACCACATCTTTTTTGCTCTGGCGCGCCCCAGAGACTCACGATGCGACTTGTTTCAGGCCGAACGAAGCATGTAAAGTCCTATGGTCAGCTGCCAAGTGCCACGCAGCTACGGCCATGCAAAGGTATGCAAAAGGCAGACGATCGAGGATAGATCGGTAAAGAGGCCCGCCCGTATGCGTATTGAATGTACGCACTCATGGACTCCCTTCGGTACTTTGCCTTTCTAGCCTATCTATGGCATGCGATGTGCGTGCTCTCTTGTCACTGTTTGTGTCTGTGCATCTCTTAGTCCGTCTTGTCTCTCTGTCTGTCGCTCTGTCTGTTTCCGTCTGTCTCAGTCGTTCTGTGCCTGTCTCATTCTCAGTCTGTCTCGTCCCGTCTCTGTCAGCCTCTGCCCGTGTGTCTGTCTGTCTGTCTGTCTCAGACTCTGTCTGTTCGTCTGCCTGGCTGTTTTGTCTCACTTTCCATCTATGCCTCCATTCATGCGGTTTCATAGACACTCGAAAAAAACCAGCTGGACAAAGATTAAAGGAAAACAGCATGAGCATCACAGCGGGCCTCGCAAAAGAACGAAGTTGTGATGCGATTCCGAATGCAGAACGATGCATGACAAAGCTTGTGTAACAAAAACGAACCTGAACGAACCAAGCTCCGTACCATCGGAGAGGCCCCCCAAGCAAATCCAATTAACCCGAATTCCTGAAGGTGCATAGTCAATAGACCAAAAGAACTCGCAACTGAAGCCCTTTGAACTCGAAAGTCAAAACAAGCACACGTGCCAAGCGGCATCCCAACCCCCGGCACCTCCTTCCCAATGTTTTTTGTTTTCTTTGTTTGGCTTGCTACTTGAATGGCGATGACGATCGTTTTGCATTTAGTCGCTTCGTTGGACCTGGCCTCTATTAGCCCATGGATCACTAGAACCCTTGCAAAACTTGCAAAGCCGCCAAACAATCCGTCACATCAAAACCCTAAGCGCTAGCAGCCGCTAGCACCCTTAAAGCCCGGAGCCCTGGAACCCTTAAAACCTTATATAAACCATAAAAAGCCATGAAGCCTAGAAAAGGTTGACATACATACATACGTACGTACGTACGTACGTACGTACATACACACACACATATACATACATACATACACACACAAACATAGCCTAAACCCCAAACCCTACACCCTGAACGCATCATTACCCGAAAAGGCCGGCCTGGTTGATGAGTTGTTCTTCGGTGAGGGTCGGCCGGAGGATGCCTGTGCTGGGGGCTGGATCGAGGCTTGGGGCTTTTTTTCTTAAAGCAGGGGCCTTAAGAATTCAAATAGGGTTCTGGGTGCCTTTATAGTAGTTCAGATAATAAGGAAGCCTCCGGAATAATATAGTCTGCCGATCGAGGGGTTTAGAGTGGAGTCTAGGGACAGGGTGAAACTGAGGTAGAGCAGCGGAGCAATGTTGTAGCACTGCTGCGCTTTCAGCGGTTATCATTCTTGCACGACGTTTCGGCACTCCTGCTTATAGCCTGTACATTCCAAGCAGTCTCCGCCTTTTGGTTTGCCGTTCTGACCTGCCGTGGTTCTCCTGCTACCACCTCTCAGACATTCATGCTGCACATGCTGCCTCCATCATGTCTCATATGGCCTGACATTATTCCTGGTTGTCGTGCGTTTCTGCGCTACACTCCCTATTCCGCAACCATAATATAATTCGCGAAACAGCCGTGATTACAACGAGCCTGCCGACTAGTTCCTGCCAACTTACATGTCGTGCTGCTGTTCTTCTTGACAGTAAACTAAAGCTTTTGTTGCGGATATTCTTTCATATTCTTCCTAACATGTCCACGGCAGGCTCCGGTGAGTAGCAAGTAGGATGACGAACCTTTGTTCCAGTGCTACTGATACAGCTATTGCGGCTGCTGCTGCTGCTGCTGCTGCTACTACTACTACTACTACTGCTACGACGACCACGACGACTACGACTACGACTACGACTACGACTACGACCACGACCACGACTACGAAAACGACTACGACCACGACTACGACTACGACGACTACTACTACCACCAGCAACACCACCTCCACGTCGACAACGACGACTCGTACTCTTGCTGCTGCTATCGCTACTGACACTACTGCTGCTAGTGCGGGTTGCTAGTTTTCTGTTCGGAGGACATCCTTAAAGACAGTTTTTGGATCCGAAAGAATTGTTGCAGCTCGAGGTGCCATTGTCCAATACCGTGACCACATCTTTGATCAGCTCCTGTAAGAGATTTTGGGAAGAATCTCTGATCAACAAACCAAGCCCAACATGTCCACCTCCCGTATGAACCTGGAGCACCTAGACCAGATGAAGTCCTGAAGACCCTCGTCAATTCCCAGGAATGTGTCAGCGGAGACAACGGGATGCAACACGAGCCCTAAATTAGGACAGGATCTGTAGTATGAAGGCCGTTATGAAAACAAAAACTCCACTCTTAGATCTTCTCCATGTACCGTTTGGAGATTAATGCTCAACTTCAGGTTTGGGTTTAGATGTTGCGACAGCTTGCCGGACCGGGTGAGGATCGACTTGAGCACTAGAGCATGTGACGAGTTTGGCTGCAGCCGCAGCCACAGCAGGCTGTCGGGAACGAGCACCACTACTGACTCGTCCAGTATCCCGGGGAAACTATTGAAGCTTAACCCTTGGGAAAATATTGGAGTATAACCTCCGCAAGAAGGTAAAAGGATAAGCAACCAACTCGACTACTAAGACTATTGAGGGCAGGATAGAAGGCTTCTCAGGTCGAGAGATATGGGTAGTTATCTAAACTAGGGTCCTTTTTTTTATTAAGGTTCCCTTTCTAGGTCCCCAGAATAGTACGCCACCCTTGTCAAAAGGACCCTAACAAGGATTCTAATCTCCAAATGTTCCGCTTCGGGTGCCGTTTAAGGGTCTGACCGTACACAAAGGGCCAGGTTTCACTAGATTTTGCTTAAGCGCTTTCCGGACCCAAATATCTTTCTTCAAGGAATGATATCACTATTTGTCCAGGGCCCTATATTGCATGCCAGCCAGCGGCGCAAAGCTCGACGCTGTTGTTGGCACCGAAGTACTTCACATTGAGAGGCTTCCTGAAGTATCCTTTGCTGGAAGAGATTCAGCCCTCAAGGCATTACGTTGCGACCCTTATTGGGCTCCTGAAGCACCTGAACAAAGACACAGCTCTTTGGCAGCATCGTAAAGATGTTTTTTCTTTTGATTGTGCTAGCAAGAAACCTCAGACTGCATTTATAATATAGGGGCCTTCATAACTAGAATAGGGTGTCGGGGCCCATTATAGTCATTATAGTATATTTATAATAAGGAACCCCCAAAATAGTATGGTAATTCTTTTAAGTCCCTACATAAGCACGACAGAACCCCGAGAAACGGTTCGTTTGTTTTGGACACGATGTTACGATCGCTTGGCAAGAAAGCGGGCCGAAAGAAGTCTAACTGCTCTTATAGAGAACCAGCGTACTTTTCAAGTACGAATTGTTGAACCATCTCTAATCTATAACCCCAGTCACAGTGACCATATCCCTACTATATCCTACTTACCCACGGATACTCTAAGTAGGGCTAGGCTCTACAATTTAGAGCCGTAGGGTTCGCAACCCCCTGCTGTGTTCTGGGGGCCAAAGCTCAGACTGAGGCTCAGACAACGGTTTAGGGTTTAGGGTTTAGGACGTGTAGGGACGATCGCGTTTGGGGACCAGCGCTCAAGCGTGCAGTCCCATAGGCCGCGAACCGGAGAGAGGCCTATTAGAGGCTTTTTGAGGCTTTGCGGTTTAGGCTTCATAACAAGGTTTCAGGATGTATGGCAGCCTGAAAAGCCTGTATCCCTCAAACCCCACCAACGCTGAAAAAGGAGGTTTTCAACGCGTGGGGCACACCAGAATCCTGAAGCCGCAGCAACCCTCCTTTTGAAGGTTGAGGGTTTGGGGGCTCAGGGTTTAGGGATCAGGGTTTAGGGCTCAAGGTTTAGGGTTTAAGGGTTTACGGTTCAGGTTTAAGGGTTTTCGGTTTAATGGAAGCTGTGCGGCGGTTGTAGTAGTAGGTGAGATGGGCCTCATGAATGCCCGGCCTCGCGCAGGGACACGCTCCGCAAGAAAAGGCTGGCTTTGCGGTTTATGGCCAATGTCTCAGTTTGAATATGTTTAAACGATGCTTGTGTCTTGAGTTTAGGGTTTCGAGGGTATCGAACGAAAATACTTAAAGGCTGCGATGGGTTTCCATGTGGCCGGGGTCTTTGAAACACTGTCTCAAACAGACCTATCTTTTATATATACATACATACATATATATATATATACACACATACACACCCAAGACCCCGACTCTTTGAAACCCCAACGCTTGTATTGCCTTTGACTTGTGAAGGCCGGGTGATCCTCAGGTGGCTCGAGTTTGGGATTTAGGGCGTGGTCCGGAATGTGGCCACGTGCCTGGGTCGGGCTACAAAGAACACTGCAGAGTCAAAACGCCATTAAAAGCAAGAGCCCGGGGCTAAAGAGCCAAAAAGTAGCGGGAAAGCTAGGGCCTTCCGAACGAAGACAACCGATCGGGAAGAATGCCATCGTAGTTGCCCTATTCACAGGCCCGAAAAACATTAAAGATTTGAGCGTTGAAGAGGATCGTATTATCCCCAAAACCTCCACGCTCACGAATTCAGCTAATGTAGGAGCCTTAATAGTTAGAATAGGGTTCTGCGGGTATACTCTACCACAATTATAATAAGGAACCCCCCAAAATAAACCCTAAACCCTGATAGTAGCCCTCAT